CCGTGTCACAGCGCCTCCCCCCCCACCCCCCGCGCCGCCCGGCTGTGCGGGAGCCGAGCAAGCCCCCGGACACGCGCGCGCACGCACACGCACACACACACTCACTCACTCACTCACTCTCCTCGCTATCAGCGCGCACATGCACAATCCTCTCCGTGCTGTCACCATCCACACACACACACACGTGCTCACAAACACTCTGCTTGCTATCAAGCTCACACACGCTTACACGTTATCCTTTCCTTGCTGTCAGCATACACACACACACACGCTCACTCTTGCACACACGGTCACACTCATTATTCTCTCCTTGCTATCAGCACATACACACACAATCCTCTCCTTGCTGTCACCATCCACACACACGCGTGAGCTCGCTCACACACACACTCACACTCTATCCTCTCCTTGCTAGCAGCACACACACATGCTCACACATCCTCTCTCCTTGCTGTTGCCATCCACACACACACACACACACACACACACACGCACACACACACACTCTCTCTCTCTCACACGGTCACACATTATCCTCTTCATGTTATCAGTACACACACACACACACACACACGCACTCACACTCATTATTTTCTTCTTGCTATCAGTACACACACACACACACACTCATTATGCTCTTCTTCCTGTCACCATACACACACACACACACACACACACACACACTCTCTCTCTCTCTCTCTCTCACATGGTCACACTCATTATCCTCTTCTTGCTATCAGTACACACACACACGTGCACTCACACTCATTATCCACTCCTTGTTGTCACCATCCACACACATCCCCTTTTTTGTTCTAAATTTGTGATGTATCCCAGGCCAAATTGGCCAAAACTAATTCCAAATCCAAGAGTCCAGACCCAGAAGTGGCCCTGCTACCAGCAAACATCCTCCACCTCCATCCGGGGCTTCAGATGTTCCCAAACCCTGTGGCAGGCATCCTACTTGCAGGCCCAAGCCCAGAGACTTGGGGTTCAGACGCCCCCAAGATTCGCTTACCCTCAGCCATCAGGCCCTCAGAGCAAGCTAGGGAGGAGACTCCCCTTTCCATAAAGTGGGCTTAAAGCCACTACACCTTGGTGGGTACTGAACCACGCCAGAAGAGCCTTTCTCCCCGGGTGCACTTTAGGAAAACTGCCTTCATGGACACAGATACATAGTATTCCCCTGCCAGGTTAAGAACAGGCACTATGTTTGAGCGGAGCCACACTCTATCCTTTCCTTGCTATTAGCACACGCGTGCGCACTCACATTATCCTCTCCTTGCTGCCACCATCCACGCTCACACACAATCCTCTCCATGCTGTCACTACACCCCCCTCCCCCTCTTTGCTGTCACCATCACACGCACACTCTCACTCCCTCCTCCTCTCCTGCAGCCAGGACTGGGTTTCCCCTGGCCGGGGACCAGAAACAAGTCACAGTTGCACAGTGGGGCTTAAACATCACCCAACCAGAAATGCACCCTAAGGACAATGACAGTGATGGGGGATGAGCAATAAAAATAAATGCATTAATTAATAATAAATAAATAAATCATCATAATGATGGAGATGATAGTGATGAATAACGATAAATAATAGATGATAATATGCACAATAAGGGTGATGTAATGATAAATAATAAAACACAACAATAATAAATAGTAATAAATAATTATGATGGTGACGATGATAACGACAGTGATGTTGATGATGATGATAAACCACACTGTGCCAAATAAATTATGTTTTTTTCTGGCCCTGTCAACCAGGGAGCAAACTGAGATGTCACTCACGATGCAAGTGTCACCAATTCTGGTTCACTCGACAGAGTCCCTGGATCTGCTCCGCAGAGTGCCCAGTGGCCAAGCCTGCACCCCGCTCCCCAGGCTGGCTCTGGGTCTCCAGCCCTGCCCCGGTGACGCCCGAAGCCTCCAGTTCTGCCAGGTGTCCCACTCGCCCTGCAATTGGTTCCAGATGGGCAGGATGCTCGTGCTCGTGGAGAGGAGGCCCCTTGCAAACACAAGCAGCAGCCTGGAATTGGACTGTGGGACTGGGGCTTACTCCAGATGACAACCCCCTCCAACAACAGGCACGGGGGATAGCATCAGGGGCACCGTGAAGTTTCAGGTCACAACACAACCGCAGGGTGAGAGCCTCCTTGCTTTCTCATAGCTCCATGGCGGTCCGGAGGACAACTCGCACGAAAATGGCAAAAGAGATTTGGCCCTAATTTCATGTAACATTGTTCAGGCAACCTGTATCCTGGGAACGATTTGCAGTACAATAGCAGAGCTAAAATAATAGCAGAGGGGAGAGAAATTAAGAGGCACAGACTGGGGAGTTAAAAAAACAAAAACAAAAAACCCCTGATTCAGCTCAGATGTGAAAAGAGAGGGAGTGTCCACAGACATGGAAAGACACTGGGAGGCTGTTCAACGTGCTGGGAGCTGCAGGGAAGACTCCTGCGAGAACCGTGGGGTGATCAGGCCAAAGGTTGGAAAGGAATCCAAGCAGAAGGGGGAGAGAGAGGATGTGTGAGGCTGGCTGACATGTCCTTGGGGGATCTCAAAACTAGGTGGTTGTGTGCTACCCTCAGCACAAAGCAGGAGGAACACTGCTGGCTACCATAATATATATACTTTGCAATAAAAAAAGTTTCCTGCTAGCATATATATATATTGCAATAAAAATCAAGTTTCCAGTTAGCATCTCCCCCAGCCAGGGGGAAGCCAGGGAAGGGATTGTGGCTCTGACATGCCCCTCCAGTTGCTGGGGTGGCTCAGCCTGCTGGTCACGATGCCAACAGGGCATGGTCTATGCCAGTTTACACCAGGGAGGTGAACTCTGGCTCAGGAAGGGCAGGTTTGAGCTGGACCCTGAACACTGCAAACCCTGTAGCCTGACTGCACTCGCGTGCCCTGTAAAATGGGGCGCCTCCAAACACTGGCAGATAACTGGAGAAAAGAGTGAACGACGGCAGAGAGTGAGAGTAATTGAGAGGCCCAGCCATGGGAGGAAAGGCCTATTTTTTTTTGCTGAGATTTGAAAAGAGACAAAGCTGACAAGGTAGAGAGACAATGGGC